GCTTTTGCAATACAGAGAAACTTCATCCTCATTATCAGTAGTGACAACTGACTTGATTGCATTATTTGTGGATTCCAATTCTTTCGGGATTGCATTATCAAATCTTTCTTGACGATTCTTATACCCTTGACTACCACAAGAGGATGGTGTGTCACTTGCCTTCCTTTTTGTACCACTCAGAACAACTGGCCTTACTGATATCTGAGGGGCTAATGGGCCGTCCAAAACATCTTCAGACTGCAAAGCTGTTTCAGCTTGAATAATGTTGCTTTCTGTGGGCCTGTTTGCTGTTTTTTTCATGCAGAAATCTCATTTGTTCAAAGTACTTGCATTTAGGCAATGAACTTGCAGCAGCACCAGACCTAGTCATCCGGTTCCTCTTGTCCAAACATTTTTTTAGGTTGTCCTTTAGATTTTTTAGATGCCTCTGAAGAAATTCCACTACAAAAAAAGAAATCAAATAATATTATTTACAAGATTCTAAAAGATATCATCAAACTAAGAATTTTGTCCAGCACAGAAACTCTCTTAGAATTATTAGATTATTATTATGAGAGTTATCAGTTTGAGGGACAAAAAGAAAACCACAAGCTTTGAAAACCTCTCTAGTGTAAATTATTTTCTCTTTTGTATAAATTTTATTCCTTTTACGATTGGAGTGGTGTCGCTCATCATGTCTGGGTGCAAATTTGTTTGATTAGCAAGGAACATAGGTAAACTTGATATCTCCTTTTAAAATAGCTTTTTGTGAGTATTTGTCATATCTGCAACGCTATTGGAACGATTGGCGACACCACTCCAATCACTTCTGTAGCTTATTATTGTAATATTTGTGTCTCTATGTTAAGTGTAGGTCTTAGGGTTGGTATGCATTTCCTTGCTCCCTAGGCTTGTGTATTGTAATTGATTGTCGTTGTAAATTTTATGAGAATATAAAAAAAAGGTGTGAACTCACCGTCCTTGTTGAATAACTGGCCTATTTTTGACCATGCGTTTTGCTTCATGGGCCTAATTTTGTATCCTTCGGAAGCAATATCCCACAAACCTCTGTACTTGCGGACTTCTTCCAAAAATACTTCTTTGTCGAATTCAGCTGCAAGTAGTTCTTCGCCATTGTACTGGTCTAGGCCTTGTAGGTTGTTCTCGGGGGTGGTGGTGACAACAGAGACGATCGTCTCTGTCTCCTCAAAACCTGTCTCATCAACGGAGCCTGGCGTGGCAGCATTGTCTTCGTGGTTGTAGAGTTCCTGTTGACTGTTGGTATTTGCTAAACTGGCAAGGTCAGCCACAGTTATGTCTCCATTTGCCATCATTTGTTGTAAGAGATTCAGTGTCATTGCAGCCATGTTTTCTTTCTGCTGCTGTTGTTTTGGCTTGGCGCGACTTTTGGTCATGGATGTCACATGACAGGCTTCCAGCAATTTAATTGGCTTGCGCCTTTCTTCGCCGCGAAAAAGTTGAATCCATTCGAACTCACTTTTTCGCTGCTGCGAACAGTCAACGCGAATGAGCTCCTGCGCGAAAATTTAAATACGCATGCGTATGCTCGAAAAAAGTCGCTTCGCGCGAATAAATTCGCCTAGTGGAAAACGGCCTTAACTCATTTAATTTATTCGAAGACTGATCCAAATCAACATTACCATACGTCTCCTCTGCAGTTGCTTAATGTTTATGTTTACTGCGGCTTCAAGGCCAAGAACATGTCAAACCTGTTAAGTCACTTCCTGTCTTCTCGTCCCAGACCCCGGTATCACTTTTGGTCTCCAAAATTGAGTTTTAAAGTTGAAATTTTGGTGTCTTACTGGTATCTTTCAAAAATTTAACCAAGATTTTCGCAATCAGCGCCATCAAATTGCGTAAAATGGCCAATAAAAAATTTCGTTTTATATGACCTTTAAGATCCGAATCATTTTCAATGATCATGAATTCTTCATTCAGCTGTTCTTCATCAAGGTTTTCTACGTCATCATGTCAGTTTATACTGATTTGATTTGATTTTTAATTATTTATACAGGGTAATACATTCAGTAATGAAAATATAATAACTGATTTACAATGTGCCCTGTCTAAAAACCTAATCTAATTAACATACAAGTTATTCTGGTAAGGTAAAAATGAAAAAGAAAAAAAAATGTTTGATGCTGTACAAGAACTCTCACACCCTTTGATTTTTCAAAGATAGTTTCAGCAAATTTTTGAAAGTAGCCAGTAAAGAGGCATTTTATCTCTGCTTAGTTTATTACTCAAAGGACAATTTGAAGATATTGATAATGCAAGAAAAGTGATCGAGGTAATCGAAAAGTCATTGCAATAAATAGCCCCTAAAGCAACAACGGGATGTAGATTAACGTACATATATGAGTTGGCAAGTTAGATTTAGATAGATACATAGAAGCACGGGCAGATACACGTAGATACATAGCGGTATGTAAGATGTCCAGGCTCTTACGATTTAAAGCCCCGTTAAAACGCTTTCAACATTTCACTGAACATCGCTCAACATTTGTAGAGTGCAAATGTTGAGAGCGTTTTAACACCCTGTTCAGTGATGTTGAGTGGTGTTGAGCGGTGTTCAGCGATGTTGAGTGGAGTTTGAACAGATTCAAAAATATTCAGCGGGTCGACTCAACATTTCTATTGTTAAAGGTGTTGTTGAGAGATGTTGAGAGCGTTTTAACACCCCATACAACAATGTTCAGTCGGCGCAAGCGCACTAGACTTGGATTTTGCGCGCCAAAGAAAGGCTTCAGCGTGTCAAGATTTCAGATCAGACCAAGAGGTTGAGAGAAGTTGAATTTTATAAATCGTAATGGCACACCATGACAAACTCTTTGAAACAGTTGGCAGTGAAAGCAAATCGGATGAGATAGCAATTCAAAGCATGTTGCAAGACCAATATCCTGACCTTAGGAAATCATCAGGCAGCTACTGCTAAAGTGAAAGAGTATCCGAAGTTCATCTTCCAAACTTGTCTTGGATCTCTGCGGGGCTTAAGGATGCTAACTGCTCTGTTCAAGAGGCTTGAGAAAGCTCTCGTCAATATTTTGTTGTTATTTAGATTTATGTAGGACAGGCAGTGCTTGTAACTTATTGCTCCTGGCCTCGCTATATGTTTCAGCAAGATAGTACTTGAGAAAGACTGTGATGTGCATTCGCGGAGAACCGAGGGTTGCATTATTGTAATAGCTGCAAAATAAAGTTTAGCCTGGAAAGATCTGCAAATATGATAACAGAAAAAAGGTGATTAGTCGCTCGTTGAATGTCATCATTTCTTTTAATTCTCTTCAAGGATTTGAGCTAAATGTGCTAACAATTTTTCATATTACAAATCCGCTTCTTTCACCAAAATCTCATATTTAATGGCACAAGTATAGAAACAAAATTTATAGCTAAGGGTATATTTGAGGGACAACAAAGCACAATGACGTACAGAATAGTACTTCATTTCATTTTATTTTTTTTTATATATTGCTCTAAATACAAGAGTGAGGGGGCATGTTGCTAGTTTCGCTGACCCTGAAAAGAGAGAGAACTGATCAAGTCCTATTTTAGCAAGCTAAAATGGTTCTTTTACTAGCAGCATTGCCTTATTTCTCTTTCCATTTCTTTACCTCTAATCAACAAGGCTGTCATCATTTTGAAAGTTTTGATTGAAAAAAAAACAAGTGCCACCATTGATTATGTATGATTTGTAACAAGCAAAGTAATAAACTTTGTGAAATGTTGGTATGCTCGACTTTATTCATTTAAGTCCGCTGAACCGTTTCTCTTTTCACAAAAAGGGGAGTTCGTGGGGGGTGTCCATAAAAACATAGACAACTTGAATATGGCCAACCCGTAAAGTAGACGATATCCTTTGCATTGCATATCATGGCAATTGAAAAATTGTCAAAAAACAAAAAGTTCAAACTGTTAATTGATTAATTTTCATATGCCGTGACGCTAAAATTGTTCAAGTTGAAAGCCTGCATTGTAAATATGCTTTATGCCTTTAGAAGGTCTATGGCCCAGCCTTCTTATTTTGAGCTTATTCAGGATCGGCAAAATCAATTCTGATAAATACAGAGATTGTTTGTTTTATTTCGAAGTTTTAAAGCTGAAATTGCGAGTCAACGAAGACACGCAACTCTGCTGCGTTCCACTTCAAGATAAACTTTGCCTTTCACAACAACAAAAATTCAGCTACCGTTGAATTGAATTGCTCGGGGCTAGTTCAACTCGCCCCAAGGTTTCTGATACGCGCGTTTGTCTTGTTTTCAAAAGAACCGCGGGCAGTCGGACCTAAACAGAGATTGGACGAACGGTGAGACTCGAAGCAACGAAATCCGACGGCTCTGTAGTAAGTTGTTTTGGAGTAAATATTTTTCCCTTCTAGAAGACGGTTGAGAGGCCCCCTCCTAAA